CACCTCAAATTATATACAAACTTCATCTTCGTCTCCAACTTGTTCTGTCAAGACATATTTCTCCCCTATAAACATGAACATCACTCCCAAAATAATGTCAAAGAACAAATCTCAGATGAAACACTTAATAAATCAAAACGAAACACAGAAAACAAGAGACTCCATAAAAACATAGGGAAATAAGGAGTCAATGCCCCCATGTTGCACCTCAACTTTGTGTTCTTCCCTTCGTACATAAACTTCAGACACAAGTTTCCCTTCTGTTTTTTCTTCATCTTTTTACATGGCCCACTTTTATTATTATTATTAGGGTAAATTGCAAACACCCCCCTGAGGTATGGTCAAATTACAAAATCCCCCCTCTTGTTTGGATAATTACATCTATCCCCGTCAGCTATGACTTTTTCTTACACCTCCACCCTTCTGGTGCCACATTCAACATAATCATCTAGATTCCGTGGAATGTGATCTAGTTTGTACTCGCTTTGTGTAAAAATACAGTTTTTGATGCACCACAAACTGATATATACAAGCTAAAAAACACATATTATGATCATCTTGCTTCATAATGTAGAGTTCGAATGGGATAGAACGGGTACAAAAGTGATAATATTCCATATAATCTCGAAGATTCCACTAAATTTGAGGAGTTGAGGGGGTCGTTGTAATTATCCAAACAAGAGGGGTGTTTTTGTAATTTGACCATACCTCAGGGGGTGTTTGTAATTTACCCTAATTTTAATAATAATATCCCATCAATATGCACACAAAAAATAATTTTAAGATAATAATAATAATGTGATGCAGGTGGTGGCGAACCTTTCTAGTGGTGCTGGTGGTGTACTCGGCATGGTCATCTCCATTCGAGCTAGCTTTCAGAAAGACGTCAACTGGTGCACTCTTGCCTGTTGACTTGGTAGTCGATGCCTTCTTCGCTATTGATATTGTTCTTACTTTCTTCGTCGCTTATTTGGACAAGTCCACCTACTTACTCATCGACGATCATAAGAAGATAGCCATGAGGTAATAATGCACATATTTTTAAGACAGTCATTGTCGAATCAAGCAATAGAAAGAGACTATTGGTTTTTTTTTCTCCTATGACAGATAGTTAAGTCGTTTTCTTGCAGGTATATTACACATCTATGGTTTCCAATGGACGTGGCTTCGACTTTGCCGTTTCAAACTATATATCGGATTTTCACTGGGAAAATGCATAACGGTGATGTGTTTGGTTTTCTCAACTTGCTTAGGTTATGGCGACTTAGGCGTGTCAGTGAACTCTTCTCTAGGTATGATTTTAATAAGGCTCGGGCGTGTCGGTGAAGTCTTGATCTTGTCTAGATGATTTCACTTAACAAATAAATTTCAAAAATTCAATAACTCTAAATTTGAACTATTCTTCGATTAATTCGACTTTGAAATCAATTTTATTTAAAATCCCACAAATTCAGATTCTTCAGCTCAAATGCAACCTAAGTGAATTATCAAGGGCTGAATTCTTACCTCGTTTGCCATCAGGTTAGAGAAGGACACTCGCTTCAGCTACTTCTGGACAAGATACTGTAAACTAATATCTGTATGCATCTCTTCCTCCACCTGTCGATTTTCACACACACACAAACACACACAGTGAATAAGAGAATTCATTTATCCAGGGTTTTTTGTATGATCTATAACAGGTGACACTGTTTGCAGTACACATAGCGGGGTGCTTCTACTATTGGCTAGCCATACATTATCATGTATCAGACGATACATGGATTGGATCTCAAGTTCCCGATTTTGAGGATAGAAGTATCTGGTTGGGCTATACCTATTCCATGTATTGGTCGCTCGTCACACTCACAACGACTGGTTACGGTGACCTGCATGCACAGAATACAGGGGAGAAGGTTTTCTCCATCTTCTACATGCTTTTTAACATCGGCCTTACTGCGTACTTAATCGGCAACATGACCAATCTTATAGTACACAGTTCGATTCGGACATTTGCCATGGTAATAATTATCTTACTCCAGTAACACATATAAGCACATTTTAAATGATTTTCTTTATAACACTAATTCTATTTGACTTTAAAGAGGGATGGGATCCATCAAGTCCTGAGCTACGCGAGCAAGAACAGACTTCCAGAAGGATTAAAGGAGCAAATGCTAGCACACGTCACGCTCAAATTCAAGACAGCAGAACTTCAGCAAGAAGAAGTATTACAAGATCTACCTAAGGCTATAAGATCCGGCATTGCACAGCATCTCTTTCGTAAAACTGTAGACAATAGCTATCTTTTCAAAGGAGTTTCTGAAGACTTTATCGTACAGCTGGTAAGCACATTTTTCTCTCAATTATCAGTCTATCTAGAGATTATCAAATTGATCTACCTCATTGTACTATAATGAATAGTCGGAGTTGTTATTTTTTTTCTTATTAGGCTTTGTGTTTTACTTTCACAGGTTCCTGAGATGAGAGCAGAATATTATCCACCCAAAGTGGACATCGTCATACAAAACGAGATATCAACAGATCTCTACATTATAGTATCTGGAGCTGTGGTACAAAAAATAACCTAACTAAATAATTATTCGAATGTTTCTACAAGCTTTATCATATGATTTTTTTTTTAACCGCAGGACCTGGTGACACAAAAAAATGGAATGGAACAGGTACACTTACCTTTTTTATATGCCCTAACATGATCACCGATTTTCTCATGCAACGTGATCTGAAATGGATCCAAAAAAAAAATCAAAAAGTCAATTTTAACCAACACCCTAACGATTAACCAACTTCTACGGCGTAAATAAAGCTGAACGGAAAATTTTCAGTTCCTGTCAAAATTAGGGTCTCCAGATATGTTTGGAGAAATTGGGGTGATATTCAATATTCCACAGCCTTTCACGGTGAGAACAAAGAGGCTCTCACAGGTCATCCGTATTAGTCACAATCATTTCAAGCAATTGGTGCAGCCACTGACTGAAGATGGAAAGATAATTCTCTCAAATTTTCTTCAGGTCAGAATACTAATAAACAATTAATTTTATCTAATTACCTGCATTTCAATTCACGGATTTATGAACGTATTATATTACTAATGCTTTTGAATCTCAGCACTTGAAGGGCTTGAAGGAGGAGGTGCTAAAGGAAATGCCATTTGTAACAGAGTTGCTGGGTGAAACTAATGTTGAGGTAATCTTTTCCTAACAGAAGCCTAAATCATGGCTAAGTGATGATGTATAATTGTAAATATTTAGACAAACAATCTGGGAAATTTCTCAGTGCTTACAATGAATTATAGTCAAATCGAAACATCAAGATAAAGCTGAGGCCAGGGAATCCTAAAATTAATTCTTGACATTTTATCATCATGTTCAGTGTGGCAGCCAATTGTTATTTCAAACGAAAAACAACTCAAGAGAGCTAATTTTATCATTTTTCAGGCTATGGCGCCAACTGCAGAACCTCAAAATCGTGATGAGTCAAGCCAAGAAACAAAGAGTAAGCCACCATGACACTTGAACTTGTCTTAACATAGTTATAACAAACTACAGGTACTTATTATCTGTGCAATTTGCTTACCGAAATGCACTGGAAATATTACCCGTCATACATAAGTCGGGAAACGAGAACATTAATAATGTCTTCTCTAGAATGCCACTCGAACATTGGAGAATATCTTTCATCATTTGTATGTTCCCTTTATTCAGCAACTTATAATAGTGTATTTATTCAGGAAAATCTATGGTTAACACGCCAGACATACTTCCAGTACGGGTAGTGCTACATGGGCATCATCCAGATATCGAACAAAAAGAAGAAAATGGGGGAAAACTTGCCCATGTTCCTGATTCAATAAAAGACCTCCTGGCTTTAGCAGGTGAGCTATTTATGCGTTAGTGTGGAACATCTCAATAAATCAGACTAATAGTGTGCACCAGAACTTGAATTCAATATATATACCCGAACCTTGAAAATTCCCTATTGTTCCGTTGGAAGAAATTGCATTTTCATTCATTAAACGTACTTACGGGTAGAAGGAACGATATATTGTGAGATTTAAAGTGTACAACTTATATTTTTGGTGAACACAGAAAAAAAGCTTGGGAAAAGAGGAACCACGATTCTCATGGCTGATGGATCTCAAGTGGAAGACCTAAACGCTTTAAGAGACAATGATCACTTATACATCTTTTGAGGACAACAAACTTCAAAAAGTTACAATCGCCCAAACAGTTGGATGACTAAAAGGTATAAAAGCAATGTACCATATTATATTTGTCAATGATATGTTCTACTTCTTGAATTGTATACGTATATAGAACTAGAAGTACGTGATTATGATGCTTTCAAGACTTTGTGAGGAATAAAACACACAAACCTTAGAGGTTCAGCTGACATTACGACTGTTAAACATGTCAAGAACTGTAAAAGCAGCTTTCTGAAAATGATCTTTCTCTTCTTTTAAGTGAATTTTCCTCTGAAGCACAGAGTCTTTGGACTTCTCTATCTCATCCGTTCACTGTGAAATTCAGGTGGACAAAGGTTAATTTAAAGTACGATAAATAACAAAAAGTAATAACTACTTTACAACAGTACACAAATCTAAGTAACAAATATTCCCAGAATAGACTCATAAATGAACTTGACAGCAAAATCAACTTTAGACTAACAATAATGAGAATGTAAACATGCTTTGTCAGCTCATAGCTCACTTTATCATCTTGAGCATGTTGTCCATCGCTATTTGCACGTTCTGAGTGAGATCTGTTCATCTCACAGAAACAATTTTTTTTATAGTTTAAAAAGAAAAATCGTAAATCATATGATTAAGCAGACATCATAAATGATCATCTCATGAAACTGATCTAATATTTTTAAATATTTTACGTTAACACTTGCCAAATCTGGACATATGTTGATATTTTCGAAGAGAACATTTGACCTGAATTTCAACTTTTCACTACATTAAAGGATGAACCAGAGCTATTAAGAAGCCAAATTGTGGCATATTTAACTGATCCTAAATTTGACGTCAAACGCCCAAAGAATGGTTCTCTTATTCAACAGAGATTAGATTCGTCCGGTGCACAGAGAAATACTCTTCTATAAAGTAATGTTCATTAGAAAATCTCAAATTGTTTTATCCTTTTAACAATCAGTGGAACAAATAAGTCATGCTACAAATATTTCATATTCTTTGTTGTTTTCATATCCTAATACATTTCCGTTGAGGCGTTGCTCAATAGAAAGAACTATCTCAAAAACACGTTCAAGGCGTAGTCCATAATTTAGTCTGGTAATTTGCTAAATGTATCAAGTAGCGTTATATATTCTACTACGAAAAGTATAAATCGAGAAAGATATTAGCCATAATCAACATAATACCGGCATTTTTACATTACTTCTAAGATGAAAACTACTGAACAAAATGAACAACCTAATTTTCACAGCTTTTCGGAAGATATATGATCATCAATCATCAAAGACACATCAAAGACTATGACGAGTAACACAGACAAAATATTGTGATATTAAGGAGAAATAACATAAAATAAAACTCTCCTCGCTGAAAATTTAAATGAAAAATCACTAGCTTTTTTTATTTTTTTTTGAAGAAAGGAACGAAATCAATTATTTTCAAGCGCAATAGAAACTAAATTCACTAAACAGAGGAACTCAGGCAAAACAATAGTTCGATACCGTACACGTACAAATCCAAAATGCATTCTGAACTGCATATATGATATAACACACCATAATTGTGTGTGTGTGTGTGTGTGTGTGCGTGCGCAGAAGCATTACCGTGAACGAGAGAAGATAGCTGAGACTCGACGTCGGACGGCGGAGCGGCATCTGCTCCGGTGGGAGGTGGCGATGACGTCATTCCTTGATGCTTTAGAGAGAAGATATATAAGCGCTAATTTCGACTGGGGTTTTCACTTTTCAGCACCTAATCTATTCTATAAATATCTAAAATTAATTTATCGTTTTATATTTATTAAATTGTTTTATATTTATTAAATATAAAACGATAAATTCAAAACAATTTTAGCTATCGGGTCTGGAACTAATCCGGATCGAATCGTGAAAGGCTTTAATGGGTCGGGCCTTTAATCTATATGGATCGGAATCATTTCTAGCAACTCAATACTAGTTAACGGCCCACTAATTACTACATCAATTTCAAATTACACGTCTTACGACATAAATATTAAAAGAAATAATAAATATACATGAATGTTAAAGAATAAAAAAATACATATAATTAGATAACCCTTTCTTATTATTTCTCTCCTTAATAATTCTTTCTCATTTAATTAGGAGTAAGATGATAAAATTGTGATAATGCTAAACTTAGATCACCTTAGAGAGTTAAAGTAGGATGAGCTGGAAGAGCAGAGTGGATCGCTAGCTCACGAGCTTGATGACCTTCAGATATCTGCGATTATAGAATACGTAAACTAAGCCGGGGTTTGATCCGGCAGAAACCTCTTCGACGCTCAAGTCAGGCGTGTGGATAGTAAAAATAAACCAGAGAATACATGTTCTAGTACTGTTCAAATAATATGACGTACCTTAACAAATGAATTAGAGTCTATGTATACCTCGTTTGATTAGACTGAAATTTAATTAGTTGAGATTATCGGGCTCAAAACTTATTTGAAGGTGATTGGACATCGGCAGCGGCACACCCTTGAAATTAAAAAAAAAATATTCCCTATATATATATTGTTATATTATATTATATGTGATTATTTAACCAACGTAATTGGTAGTTCACTTGGTAAGTAGCTTTAATCTTTTGTGAAATGTCATAGGTTCGAGTCCCAAAACCATCAAATTTTTTATAGCTTTTCCAAAACTCTACAAATCCATTTATACTCACATTTTCTCTCTACAAATCCATTTATACTTAACATTTTCTTTCATTTTTCCAAAATTTACTCACATTTTCTCTCTACAAATCCATTTATACTCTAACATTTTCTCTCATTTTTCCAAAATTCTACAAAAAATTGCAATTGGTCTTAAAATTTCGATTTTCCTACATATTAATATTATTTTATGCTGGTATTATTATTATTAAAAAAAAATCGGGGGCGCTGCCCCCGAACCCCCGTAAACTTTCACACCCCCTTGGCTAAATTCCTGGATTCGCCACTGGACATCGGTAGTAGTTTTCAATATTTGACTCGTAGCCCAGTAAGTAAAGAAATTGTATGCACGTTGAGTTGACCCAATTAGGTATATCAAATTGAGAAAAAATAAATAATAAACGCATTATTAAAAATTTAAAGTAACAGATTTTATAGATAAAATAAGAAGAAAAACTTTAAAGCGACAATGAATTTAAAATTTATAAAAATTGTGTACCTAATATAATAAAAATGGTAAAATAAATTAGTAATGACCGTTCTGCACCCAATTAGCAAACGTAGTAATTAGCAAGTTAAATAATTAAATATTTTATCTCAAATGGTGTTTCCCAAAAGGTAATATCCTTAATTAAATATTAATATTAGGCTTTATGCATAATGGCTAGCATAATTAATCTGACCGTACTATATATTAAAATGATGGTAGAATTTTTCGTTACTTGTGATGAGATATTCAATATTGTACTAAAGTAATGGGAAATCAAAATTATTTAATTATTTGTGAAGCAAGACACGGCCTTAGTAAATTAGTAAATATGTCAGTGTACTAGTTGTCTGTCACATGGAGAACAATTCAGATGTTTGAATATTTCTATATGCTAAAATCCAATACCTTCACAAGATTTTGGATTATATACATTATTTTATTTCGAATTATTGTTTTTTTTAAACATTTAGGATCCATTTTGATATCATAATCGGGCATGTCTAATGGGTCTATAATTTCTTAATATACTAGGCGACGAAGCCCAATTTTGAATACCACTATAATGAAAGTCCAATTATCTTCAGATAAGGTTTGGGCAGGATAACTTCAGCCCAATCAACGAGGTATAAATAATGATTTTTTACTCATTTGCTAAGGTACGTTCTATTATTCTATCGAGACGACTTCTAGCATTTTCTCTACGACTTTACTAATCCACACGCCTGACTTAAGCGTCATAGGGGTTTCCAACGGATCAACACCCGACTTAGTTTATGTGTTATCAACAGGTATCTCAGGATCATCAAACTCGTTAGTCAGTGATCAACTCTTTCAACTCATCCTCCCTAAACTACACCAGGTGATTTATCCTTAGCATCATCACATTTGTTATATTATTTGATGCTATATCTGGTGAAAACCGTAAAATACATCGGGTGATTTTATACTGCGGAGTTGCACATAATTACACACACCTATATGTATGCGTGTTTAATGAGAAGCTATTTTCACCACATAATCGGTTAAAAATCACAGGGTGTAACATCTCAATGACCTATTATGGGTGTGTGTTCAATTTTTTTTTTTAACAAAATATTAAAGTCTAAATAATTTATTGTTTATAATTTTTAATAATTCACAAACGTTAAAATATGAATTGGGCCTACATTGTGGGCTACAAGTATAAGCCCAATAACCCATATAAAGTTTTGTAGTAATAAAAGCTGAAATGAAGACAAGTATATATATATTCTGTAATTAAATATTATTAAAAATCTGCAAACAATTAATTTTTTAAATTTTTTTATTTTGATAAATTTAAAAGTGAGAAAACGACAAAATGGAGAGCAGTAGGCTAAAGTGGGGAGAGTAGTACAAGTGTACAACATGAATGATGATAGCCTCAACTGTGGTTGGGTTACTTTTACACGGTTTTCTAACCATGGTTAGTTAAGCTTAACCCAAGCTGACGTGACATCTGAAAACCAGAAAAATGACGATCGATTATATTCTGTGGCTAACCGGCGCGTGAGGGAACCCTTTCGATTGACCCGGGTCAAAATGTGTAAATGCGGCGAGTTATTGCTGAACCACTGACGCCGAGGCGAAATGTCTTAATTGCCCCTCACAAAATTAACCACCAATTGCAATTTTCACCATTTTATTTGGGTTTATTTATTTTATTGGATTACATAGTTTGTTATACTAGTAATTGTTAGAAAAAAGAAAATGTGTATTTATTTTTATTAGTATTTTTTTATGTTTCAATTTCCTAGCAAACAATTCTCTTAAAAAAATAATTATTTAAGATAATAATAATAATAATAATAATAATAATAATAATAATAATAATAATAATAATAATAATAATAATAATAATAATAATAATAAGGGTAAATTACAAACACCCCCCTGAGGTATGGTCAAATTACAAAAACCCCCCTCTTGTTTGGATAATTACATCTACCCCCTCAACTATGATTTTTTCTTACACCTCCACCCTTATGGTGCCAAATTCAACATAATCATCTAGATTCCGTGAAATGTGATCTAGTTTGTACTCTTTTTGTGTAAAAAATACAGTCTACAGTTTCCGAATGCACCACTAACTGATATATACAAGTTAAAAATCGCGTATTATGTCATCTGCTTCATAATGTAGA